ATGAGCTTTACAGTCAACTTACCGAGGGCACACTGTTCTGCGCATACATCTCCTTTGAGACCTTCATCTTCAAGGAGGGCAAATATCCTTCAAAGGTATGTACTCACATCCACCCACCTTTCCCATTCAAATCCAAATCTGTTCCCAAATATATCATATCTATGTCTAACGACTCCAGGTCCTCGACAAAGGCTACGGCAGGGCCTGGTTCCCGCCCATTACATCGCTCTTGTCGCCATCAGGCCCGTCAATGCCAACGAAACGCCATAGGGAGCCGGAATCTGACCACAATGATGTTGATGACGCTTTCAATAATTTCTCTCCGAAGAAAAACAAGACAAAGTAGTTTAGATCTCTCTTTAAATTTACTTACCATTAAATATACCACTCGCACGCAAGCTAACACCGTCTATCGTTACCTACAAAGTACATAATTTATGATATGTACATTACATTCTCATTTAATAGTATCAAGTTTCAGTGACTTCCCGACCTTTCCCGACTGACTCAAGGTAGCGGGCCGTGCCGCTTGTCGGCCTTACCTGCTTTATCTAGCTATGTACACTGCCCGTCGAACGGCACTAAGTCAGGAATGTAACAGGGAGTATAACCAGCCGGTGGCATACAGTCTATCTTATAAGGACAGTACAGTAGCGAATATGAGTTGAAGACCCCCGTTCGACTCGGGGTCGGGTGATCCGGGCAATGGCTGGTATTTTTTCATTCCTTCCCTTGGAATTGAGCCGTCTCGTATGCAAAATTTCCCCCACCGGCACTGGCAGCACCCTGATTTACATGTACGATCGAAGCGTCCGCACCCGCAGATATAACGAGGACGAACCCGTTAAACTTGAGCAAGTTGTGGTCTACATAAGTGCAAAAGAAATAAATTCTAGGGAAACCCGGAGGCCTAGAATCCAGAGCCGGCGGACGCAATAAAGAATATGTCCAGGGAGGGTGGAATGAACAACAGAGAAAAGGGAGAAAGTAGAAAGTAGACGCCGAGCGTTCAACTGGAGGAGCGCAGCAAACATGGCGACCTCGGACCCATTCGCGAAAATTGTACCCCCCTCTCGAAGTGCTCCAATTGCAAGTCCAACAAGGATCGTCAATTGACGGATAATCGAGTCCGAGCCGCAGCAGCGTTCCGTGCCCGTAAATATTAATTCCAGTACGCCGCGCGGGCTGAGCTGCGACGAAGCGCACGGACAGCCTGCCACTTGCGAACCCCTCCGTCGGTGGCCATTAACATGCATGGCCGGAAGGAGACTCCAAAACGAGCTGGCGCCTGGTGCGGTACGACCGCCCGCCGTGCAATATTATTGTTATCCGCGGACAAAGCGCACACCAGTGCGCATGCAAATAGTACACCGCACTCGTCTCCCCGCTAACACGCACCGCCGCCCATACCAATCGCTGCAAAGATCCCGCCCAGCGGCTTCTTTTCGACGCAAGGCGGCAGCGGATACCCCCCAAGTGTCGGATACCGTGACATCCCAAGTATCCTCAAGCGAGGACAGCGCCGGCGCCGCCCACACCCGCGAGCACCAAAGATCCACGGCGACCGCCGCGTGCGCACAGACGGCTTCTTTGCAAGCATAGACGTGGGACGCTGCGGATACGGCCGGGCGGCTTCTTTGCTTGCATCGCGCATGCTCCATGGACGGGATCGCGTGCGGCGACAGCTCCAAGCGATCGTGTCCAGCGTTGAGGACAACTCGGTGTATCACCGTCGAGCGCTGCGGGCTCGTCGCGGGAAGGAGAAGAGGCGGGACGCAACGTCGAGCGCTGCGGGCTCGTCACGGGAAGGAGAAGAGGCGGGACGCAACGCGCGCGGTACGGAGGAAGCGCTCCGGGACGCGCGGACGGCGGCGACGCTGAGGGCGTGCGGAGCTCCAGCCTGCGCCTTCACTCCCGCGCCCAGCGACGCCGCTCGCCTCGCGGTCGACGGCGGCCCGGCCCCAGCCCGCTGAGACGATGAGCAGAGGATCGTGCTGCACCCTGCACCGCGCCTGTACGCACAAACACTTGCCTGCGGCACCAATGCCGCAGGGACACCCTCGTCTGATTCGGACGCGTCTCGCGCCTCTCCTCCCGTACGTAGCATTCGAGAGGAAGAAGCGAGAACGAGAACGAGAAACGCACCCCCTCCCCAGCACGATGGCGATGGTCTTCTCTGCGTTGGACGACAGAGTTGCGAACGCGGGAACCTGGAAGGAGTGGGTTAGCGGGTGTGTGGGGAGGAGGATGAAGGAGGCACGGAGGAAGCATCGAAGGGAATGGGAGGAAGCGGGAGATCGGGGCGAGCGGGTAGGATACGCAGAGGAATCGCCAGGAAACGGATGGGCGCCGGTGCACTCGGTTATGCCAGTGTGGGGGGAGAAGGGATGCAAAGTCCCGAAAAGCGGCCAGGAAAAGGCACGGCACGCACCTGCTCCTTCAGAATTTCAAGGTCAAGCGCATCCCTCCGAGCGTGATATCCGTGCGTGCTAGAGGACGCATCGAGGAGGAAGAAGGCCGGCGGGGCGGAACGAGTCGGGGCGCGAGGCGGTCGAAGGGAGGACGGAGCGCATCGGGATAGCGTTGGAGGAGCAAGGCAGCGGCGGCACGGCCTCCCGACGCCCTCAATATCGCGTCTCTCATTGGTGCGGTGCAGAAGAGGGTTTGCATCACCAAATCCGGAAAAATCAGGTATTGCCCCGGTAAGGATCGTGATCCCATCGCAATAATTGCGAGGCTCACAATCGCTTATAACCGCTCACAACCATCAAGCAATTGTTGTGAGCGCGTCGTCTATACCCCACAATTATTAGCTCTTCAGACGAGCACATTATGAGGCTTGTAAGTATGAGCCTGGGTAATTTTTACATTTGATCATATATAAACTACATACATAGACTGATTATACCGTGCGCGAGCCTCAATCATCGGAGTCAATGGTCGCAGTCAGATTCTTCCATATCCGAGTCGGCGGCGGAGTCGCACAGTGGGCCGCCGACTAAAAGGAAGCTCGCATCTCAGTCGTCCCTTCCTTCCTACACAAGATGTCTTAGCTGTGCGTGCCTGTAACTCCTCCGGAAATTACACCGAGCCCAATGTCAAGTTTACACTGAAGTTGAAGAAGGCGCAAAGTAGTTTTGGTCAAGTTTTGGTAGTCAATTGGTCCGCGGGCCGCATCATTACCATCAGATGGATACACGTGGGATGGTCCCGTGCGCGTTATATATGTTTGATGGGGATTTGATGGTGTTTCGTCTTTCCTTTCCCTCTCCCACGTCGTGCCCGAACTCCCTCCCACCTTCCTGACGTTCTCGGATCCTCTAAATCCTGTCAATGGTGCTTATATACCTCGTCCTCCGGCCGGGTCCTGTGCCCTTGCTCAAGAACTTACAAATGATGTCCTCGTCAACGCGCGCAAGTCAGCATCCTTATCAATATCAAGGCACCAAGTCTTCAAATCCTGCAAACCCGAGTCATTCAAGCACGCAAGCGAACGCAAGCAGCTATATTCTGCATCGCAAGCACTTGTTACCGTGATGATCTCCCCAACCTCATTCGCTGGCTGCCTGGCAAATTTGGTCTTTCCCTCCCCATCCCCATTGGATCCATTTCTTGGTTCCACAAGGTTCTACTACAGCCTGGTCTCGATTTTATACTGCCGCATTGTTTATTACTACACATCCTGTTGTACATATTAATTTATGTTTGCTTTCTTCCCACATGCATTGTTTTTCGTCAAATTGAACAACCAAATTGAAAGCGCCGGCCGCTATAACCAGGGATAGGCTGAGCTTGCAATCGGTGATAAGGGCATACGAGGCCTCATAACGCAGACGACCATCATAATGATTGTCCAATCGACGATCGTCACACAGGCAGATCTGCGGTTATACGCGGTCGCGATCCGGTTCGCAATAATTGTGAGTATTGTTTGGATTGTAGAGATCACAAGCCCTTATCGGCGCTCGCGAGTTTTTTCCAGATTTGGTGATGTGATGGCGTCAGCAGGGCCGGTTGGGCCGGTTGGCCTCTTATCTCAGTCTACTGCGATGTCGAGCACTCGAATCCCCCACGTTGCGTTCCCTACCATCGCAGTGTCTTCCCGCCGTCTGCGTTTCCGATCCCATTTTGCATTCAGTCCATTCCATTCCGATCCTGCAATCTGCGCAAGCAAGTCGGGGCTTGTGAACCACGGACGGAATACGGAACCGAAAGCCGAAGCTGAACACACCTGGAACTTGGCGCGCCCCAAACCCAATCCCCGGCCCCGCGCGCGCTATCAGTGTTCATCCGACCTTCTCTTCACGCGCCCTTCTCTTAGGCTTTGCCTCGTTCACTCATCTCCCTTCTCTCCCCTCAATTCTTCTCGGCTGCCGTCCCTTGACTTGAATTTGTCTTCCCTTCACTTGCGTGCACCTCGATCGACTGGTGACTCCCCCCCCGGTCTCTGCAGTCTGCGTTCCTCGCCTGCTGCCTTCAAGATCCCCAAGTTCCGTCCTCGCAGCGCATCAACGTGACCGCTCTTTAAAATTTCGCGCACGGTGTCTATACCTCACCGTATAATAAGAATACCCAGGATATAGAGAGATCCCGGATATCGCGATCGCTGCGATACCGGAAAGCTTAAGCTTAAGCTGTACCCCAGCCAGATTCAGATCTACTTCCCCTCGAGATCCCGGTCTACAGATCAAGCGCAACTGACTCCTTTCACATTCTACCCCGACTCGCATCCGCATCCGCATTCAGCCAGACCCTCAAAATGCCCTCTGGTTCAGAACCTGGGCTTGCATCGTATAGCCTGGGTCGTATAGCGTGGGAGGTCGGCCGTGCAGCTTTCCACTTACCTCCCTTCCTTGAACGCTCCTCCCCTTTGAATTAATTCACATCCTCCAAGGCCTCCCCAAGTTCTCTTGCCAATATCAATCTTTGTTCCTGCCTTTCAAACCTGCTGAGCTTGATCTGCCACGCGCATCTCCCAAGGAAAGATAGACAAGGAATACCACCCGGTAGCACACGGTGTGCATCTGCTTATAGTAATGGAGTCGGCTTAGCGGAGTGTGCAGAAGACCCCCGTTCGATTCGGGGTCGGGTGATTCGGTGGGATCCTGAAGAATTTTTTTTTCCTTCAGGCCAGCCCTCTCCCGGAATGGAGTAAACCCACCAAGGATATAAACCTCACCCCACCCGCCCCCACGACTTTTAATCCCGGTCCCAGGTTGAATGTTGAATTTCGGAATTTCGGAAGTCTAACCACGATCCTCACTCTGAGTCAGTTTAAACTGAATCTGCGTTGAGATTTGAGCATTTAAAAAAGAAAGACGTAGGGGTATTAACACCCGGTCGCACACGGCGTGCATCTCCCCGCCGTACCAAGTCTTGAATGCAATGTGCAGAAGGCCCCCGTTCGACTCGGGGTCGGGTGATTTGGGCATTGTCAGGTACATTTTTTCCTTCAGGCTTCGCTGTACTTGCCAGCTCACTTTCATAACCAGCGACAGAATCTAGCTATCCACTACACCGCTCCCCGTGTTTCGGAATTTCGGAAGTCCAACTACGATCCTCCCTCCGAGTCAGTTGAAACTAAATCCGCGTCGAAATTTGAGCATTTAGAAAGGAGAGGCGTCGGGGTATTAACACCGGGTAGCACACGGCGTGCATCTTCCCACCTTGCGAAGTTCATGTGCAGAAGGCCCCCGTTCGACTCGGGGTCGGGTGATTAGTGGCCGCACAGTTTTTCCTTCCGGCTCCTCTCCCGCCTACCCAGCAGCTGACTTTCAAAACCAGCCAAGAATTTGGCTATCCACTATACCGCTCCTCATTGTACAGTGTTGAATTTGCTAAAACCAACCACAATCTGCAACCCGAGGCTCAATAGGCTGAGTATCACGCACGTCGGACTAGGGGGAGTAGCACCTGGTACCACAGGGCGTGCATCTGTTGAGCCTAATAAGTGTCCCCTCTGGTAAGCAGAAGGCCCCCGTTCGACTCGGGTTCGGGTGATAGCGCTTTCGGTCACTCTTTTTTGTGGCCTGTTGCCGTCCGCTCACCTGCTTCCTCTGAATCCTGCTCATCGCCTCCTGGAACAATGCCTCCCGTTAAATCCTAACCAATCCTCTCTTGACAATACCTATACTCTTTCTGTCTTGCGGGATACCTCCTCTCAAATCCATGATTAATCCCACTCACGGTTGAACAAATCTGTGTTTAAAAGTTGCAGATTTCATGAGGAAAGATAGAGGGAAATTAACATTCGGTAGCACACTGCGTGTTCACATAATCGTGATGGCTGTGCAGAATGGCCGTGCAGAAAGGCCCCGTTCGACTCAGGGCCGGGTGATTCCCTGTTATAAGCCTAGCTTTCTTTTCCCCTTCAGGCTCTTCTCCCGCATACCCAGAAGCTAAACTCAATCACCCACGAGTTTAATTATCCACTACACCTCATCACACACTGCTCCACATGATACTGTGTTAAAAGGTTTCAACCGCTAACTACAACCCGCTTGAATACTTTGTTTTTTCGGCCGGACCTCTTCAAATTCACTTTGGTTGAACAGAATCCATGTCGAAAATTTGCAGATGTCATGAGGGAAGATAAAAGGGTATTAGCACCCAGTAGCACATTGTGCGAATCTGCGTGATGCATTTGAACCAGCCGGTCCTTACCGTTACTGTGCAGAAGGCCCCCGTTCGACTCGGGGCCGGGTGATTATAAATTGTGCGCAGATTTTTATCGCTAGGCTGCCTCTGGCAGCTTCTGTCTTTTCTCTCTCCGTATTCATACCCCGGACTCGACTCACGCAGAGCGGAAGTAATTTTCTCGTTGACCAACACCCAGTAGCACATGGTGTGCATCTGCTTCCCTTGAAGCCCAGAAGACTAGGAGCCGGGTGATCGCAAATATGTGTGGATTCTTTCTCCTTCTGCGCAAACGATTTAAACAAGCATCTAAACTCCTCATGCTCGTAACCACCCATGATTTTAATCCCCGCCACACACCGCTCCCCAGTACCAGGTTGAATTTCGAAGCCCAATTTCAACCACTATCTTCAACCTTGGATTCAACTTGATCTAAATCAGCCGAGTCTCACCCACGTCTGAAATGATGGCACATGATGAGCTGCTGCTCTTCGTGTTCGAGTCCCCCGATGATATGCAGGACGGCCCCGTTCGACCGAGTCGGGTGATGTGACTATTCAAGGTCTTTTTATATTTTTATATTTTTTCAAGACAATCCTCTTCTTGTTCCCGCCCAAATGATCCAACCGAGCACGAAAACAACCCATGAGTTGAATCCCGCTCCTACATTATTTTTCATCTCACTGAGTTGAAGTTTGAATTTCTAACGATGAACTTTAAAGGCCGTGTTTGAACCCAATTGCGTCTTGTTTTCCCGAATTTCGTCCACAATTTCACTGCTTATACTCTCTATCATCCGTCATCCTCCTTCCGAATGGCTCTAAAGATTCCTCACCATGGTTTTACCCTCGCAGGACTCAGCCGGTGTGTTGTCACATGATCTGTTGAGTACGGAGTTGTTCAGATTGCTGCTCTGTAGGTGTTGTATGTGCTTGCAATTGTTAAGTTCCAATATAACGGGCCACTGATAGCATTTTTTTAGCCCCAGGTAGGTCGTTTTGTGCCTGGGAAAAGCTTTCAGGTTCAACAGACTCGAGCACGTTCGAACGCTGAACCGAACTTGAACGCAGGTTTAGGTTCAAGGTTCGGGGAAAAGGGCCCGAACCTGAACCGAACCGAACCTTGCCATCACTAAGCGAGAGGCGTGCAGTCCCTAGACAGCGGATGAGGTCGAGGCACTGTCGGTGGTAGAGGGGGCAACAGAGTAGGTAGTGGGGAGGAGACACAGCACACAGTCGGGGGAGGGGGTGAGGCAGAAGCGATACAGGTACACATTGAGCATGAAGTGCATCCTGCGCAGCTGCATGAGTATGCTGCACTGCGGGCAGCTCAGGTCATCATACAGGCATGCGACGGCATTGGAAGGCTTCATGCTGTTGAAGAGGGAGAGGCGGCGGTGGCGTGGTGACGTGGACCATTCCGTGAGCCAACGCACCTGGAACATCTTCGCGCCGGCTGCCTGTGCCGCAGCCTTGCTCAGCAGGAGGGCGGATTCGAAGAGGCAGATCCGCGACACGAGGGCAGAAGAGGCGCCTTTGGCCTCCTCCTTTGCACACGCATCGACAGCCTCATTCCCGGGGATGCCCACATGAGCTGGTACCCAGTGGAAGCAGACCTTGAGGGTGGGACGAGTGCGGAGGAGACAGCGATGGAGGGTGTGCAAGGCTGCGAGGAGGTATTGGCCGGGTTGGGGTTTGGGCACGGGGAGGGCAGTGACGGCAGGCTGGCAGTCTGTGAAGATGACCATGCTGGTTAGCTGCCAAGTGCTCTTGACAATGTCGAGGATGAGGATGGCACCTGTAACCTCCGACTCAAACACAGTGTGCTCATCCTCCGTGCCGAGGTGCTTCATCCTCCACTCACCTTCTCTGTTCCCATTCCATGCAATTGCCATCGCTCCCACTCTGCCCTCAAACCCCGACCTATCTGTGTACACACATAAACCTCCGTAGCACGTAACTTTCTCCATCTCGGCCTTCACAGTGTCCTTGTCCGGTGCGATCCGCACTGTCAGTGAGCCCGGATAGACTTGTAACCAGTCTGCCTATGAGTGGCAAAAATGTGGCAAGCACTTTGCTGTAGGCAGAGTGGTACCATTCAATTAAGACGGGCCTGAGTTTGAATTTTTTGGCGGTGCCGATCACGGCATCACGGTGGCTGTGTTATGATTTGACTCGGCTCCCGAGCCATCTCCCCATTCCTGACACAAGATGATGGTGCGCGCGCATCTGATGCGCACGCGCCAACTTCTAGCTACACGACATCATATATATATTTGATACTTCACATTTCCTCCCTCAGTTGTTTCCCCCTACGACTGAGGTGAGTTATACCTACTATTTCCACTTACTTCCGATACTTATTGACTTTTCTATTTAACTCATATATCTAACAGCTATCGTAGTATTACTGGAGTCGTTTCCCCCTATGACTGAGTTAACTCATATATCTAACATGCTGAGCTTTGCCATCAATTTCGATGCAACTTCAGGTCCATTGCACGGGCCGCCCGCATACCTGCCAAAAAATCGGAGTACACAGAATTCAACACAAGTACAATTGGCTCATACTATCTCTTTTAATCCGGTATAATACATTTGAATTGAGCATAGGGCGGACGGCCTCAAAACTCCGCCCCTCTCGATTCACAGCTCCGAATAGTACCAGTCTGCCTACGGCAAAGTGCTCACCACATTTTTTCCAGTTGTAGGCAGACTAGTTGCGAGTCTAGAGCCTGGAGGCACTGGAGTGATAGTGAGGTGCGGGTCGATCATCTCGAAGTCCTTGTGGAGTACCGGGTATGCGGCGAGGATGGTGGATGGCGGAGTAGTGGTAGAGGGGGCACGTGCCACGGCGGCAACGTCTGACAAAATGGTGAAGGGGGTGCGAGGGAGGGAGCACACTAAGGCGGACAGCAGCATTGAAGACGGAGCGGTTGAGGCAGATGTGGACAGGGAGGAGGTTCACGTGGAATTCCAAGCTGTCCGTGGCCGTGGTGCGCAGCGCTCCGATGATGACTGTGCAGGCAAGGCGCTGGACCTTCCCCAATGCCTTCGCAATGCAAACCATACCTGAGCAGTGCACATCTGCGTTGGCTGATACGGCTTGTACCAAACCGGGAGTGCGTACTCCATACACGGGACCACGACCGTCTGGAAGAGTTGCCGCACATACAAGTGGGGGAAGCCGAAGGTGGGCATGCAGATGCGAAACAGCATGAGCATTGCCTTCATTCCCCAGCTCCGCGCCAGCTTGACATGTCTCCAGAAGGACAGCTTGTGGTCCAGCACGATTCCGAGCAATTTTGCGCTGATGGATGCTGGGATGGTGATGCCAGCGAAGGTGACGGGAAGGGGGTGGTAGTACTCAGTGTGCCATTAGCATTTCGAGCGGAAAAACGTAGCAACAGTGCGCCGGTGAGATCTCAGCCCTGAAGACCACGTTAGTCCCCAAGGCA